TTTTAATCGGGTCGAATACTGTAACAACCACAGATTGACAAAGGCACCAAATCGAACTTTGGATATATAGCATTGAGAAAACTTAGCCTTTCTCAATCTCAAGTCTGTAGCGAAACATTGGTTTAAACAATCAATAATTAAGAGGATAAAGTCAATAAAGAATCGAAGTTTGTGAATTCAATATTCTTTCGCATGATCATTGAACATTGAATCAACAAGCAAGTGCCTCCCAACTTATATCCTCAGCAATTCAACAGAGCGCTTTGAATTGATTACTAACTGATTATCAAATCCATATTTTGATATGAAGAAATTAACTAATTAATCATGCTTGTTTATTCTTTGCATAATCACTAATCTGTTTAACCATTTGTTTACTGCAGTAAATTCACTGAAGCAGATTTCTGGTTGATTTTTTTCCACGAATTTGATCGTTGTGGAAGATGGAGTTTTGTCCTACATGTGGGAACATGTTGCGTTACGATTATTCAAAATTCGCCTGCTCGACATGTCCATACATCGCCCGTATCGAAAGACAGGTTTTTTACTTAACTAATACAAAAACCCTGTTTTGAAGTTTGTTTGTGTTGGTAAATCGTTATATATCCGTTTATACTTTGGAATATTTTCTTTTTACAGGTAGAGATAAAGAAGAAGCAATTACTGGTTAAGAAATCCATAGAACGTGTTGTGACTGAGGAAGATATACCAACAGAGGCTGAAACCGAAGGTATTCTTAAGTTTCATTCTAATTAGAACAATAACATCTAGGATTCTTAATGTATCAGAATTGGCTCAGTGATAACACGGATCCAGAGTTGCTATAACATTTGGTTAATGAGTAACTTAGCTAGGAGCATATTACATGGATCTCTCTTTAAAGCATTCTTCTCATAATTGTTTAGTGGTTTATCGTAAATTGATCGTATTGCTTCATTTCCTCTTATTAGGTTGGGATCTTCTTTGTTCTAGTGATTTATTTGTATTCTTTGTTTATCAGCTCCATGTCCAAGATGCGGCCACAACAAAGCATACTTCAAATCAATGCAGATTCGTTCAGCCGATGAGCCAGAATCGAGATTTTATAGATGCTTGAAATGCAATCTAACTTGGCGCGAGGAATGATGACCAGTGTGTGTTGCTCATCCCTCATGCAATCCAAAGAATTTTGTTCTACCATTGCCATTGCAATGTTCGATTGCTTGATGTTTCTGTAATTTAAGCAATTTTGTTTTGTTTTTCAAGATATTTGTATTCTTGATGAACAATTTTATTCTGAATTGGAATACAGTTTTTATCTCTGTGGTTTTGGGGTGAAAATTTCTGTAAAGTTTGAGAGTTTATTCTCTCACTTTGAGAGACTCAGTTTCCAAAACGACGACGTATTGCTTGTGTTGGTCTTTGAATTTGACCACCTGTTAAAAACTTTCCTTCTTCGTCTTCTTCCTCTGTCCACTTAAACCTCCACAGATTTCATCTCTCTCTCATTTCTTCGTGAAAATGTCTGGATCTTCGAGAAGCAAGCAGAGGCAGAAAGCTGACTTAGCCACAATCCTCCGCAAATCGTGGTACCATTTGAGATTGTCGGTTCGCCATCCGACAAGGGTCCCTACTTGGGATGCGATCGTTCTCACTGCGGCTAGTCCCGAACAAGCGGAGCTTTACGAATGGCAGCTCCGGCGAGCCAAGCGTATGGGACGAATAGCTAGCTCCACCGTCACTTTAGCCGTTCCTGACCCAGATGGTAAACGGATCGGGTCTGGTGCTGCCACTCTTAACGCCATTTATGCTCTTGCTCGACATTATGAGAAATTAGGTTTCGATCCTGGTCACGAGGTAATTTGTGTTGACAGGTGACAAAACCCATGAGATCTGTTTGGTTGATTAACATTGTATATCATTGAAAGTTTCAATTTTGTTTGAGGTTATGATTTTGATTGTTATGTTCATAATCATCAGGTGGAAGTTGGTAATGGTAACTGTACTGAGTCCTCAGGGAAAATGTCTTCAATGTGTTGGGTTAGATTCGTCTCTGAAAAGCATGTACTGATGCTTCATGCTGGAGGTGACTCTAAAAGAGTTCCATGGGCAAATCCTATGGGGAAAGTATTCCTTCCACTTCCTTATCTTGCAGCTGATGATCCTGATGGTCCTGTTGCTCTCCTTTTTGATCATATACTTGCAATTGCTTCATGTGCAAGACAGGCTTTTGGAGATGCAGGTAAGTTCATGTACTTGTTTCTTGCGCTTTATCTCATAGTGCAAGTGCAAGTCCCATGTTCAAATGTTGGAGACAAATTATATATTGTTAAAGAGAAATTCTGACTAATCCAGTGGACTTCTTACAATATTTAAGTAATACCTTTTTCTTAATTTTAAATTAACAAAGTCATATCTATACTAAATTTATAATATAGAACCGAAACATTTCTGTAAAGAGTCTTTATTCTTGTTTCCTGCGCTTTATTCTCATAGTGCAAGTGCCATGTTCTTGTGGTCTGTTCTGCAGCTTGCTGTTTAAGCTGCATAAAACAAAGAAGAGTGTGTCTTTCGTCGTATGATTTGGATTTCCTATTTTCAGGAATGCTGATCTTAACTTTTAACCTTGTGAAGGTGGATTATTCATTATGACTGGAGATGTCCTTCCATGTTTTGATGCATTTAAAATGACTCTTCCTGAAGATGCAGCCTCCATTGTTACTGTGCCTATCACTCTCGATATTGCTTCTAACCATGGTGTTATTGTCACATCCAAATCTGAGTCCCTTTCCGAAGACTATACTGTCAGTTTAGTAAATGATCTTCTGCAGAAGCCTACTGTGGAGGAGCTTGTTAAGAAAGATGCAATCTTACATGATGGACGAACGCTCCTTGACACTGGGATAATATCTGCAAGGGGAAAGGCATGGTTGGAACTGGTTGCTCTTGGATGCTCGTGCCAACCAATGATCTTAGAGCTTTTAGGCAGTAAAAAGGAGGTAAGTTTCTCATATATATGCAGTTTGTGAGTTCTTGAATAGACATTGGTCTCTTACAGATGTTTTGTAATGGAATGGTCTGTTAACTTGGCAGATGAGTTTGTATGAAGATTTGGTGGCTGCTTGGGTTCCTTCAAGGCATGATTGGCTGCGAACTCGACCTTTGGGTGAACTTCTTGTCAACAGTCTAGGGAGGCAAAAGATGTACAGCTACTGCACCTGTATGTTTGTAGTAATCCCTAGAAGAGCAAAACTAGAACAGGTTTTGATTTCATTTGGTTACTTTTCTAATCCCATTTTATCATCTTGTGTCAGTTGATTTGCAGTTTTTGCATTTTGGAACATCATGTGAGGTATTGGATCACTTAAGCGGAGATGCTTCAGGAATTGTAGGTCGAAGACACTTATGTTCCATCCCTGCTACTACAGTTTCTGATATTGCAGCGTCTTCTGTTATTTTGTCTAGTAAAATTGCACCTGGTGTTTCCATTGGTGAAGATTCACTTGTATATGATTCAACAGTTTCTGGTGCTGTACAAATTGGTTCTCAGTCCATAGTTGTTGGTATTCACATCCCAAGTGAAGGTCTTGGAGCTCCAGAGAGTTTCAGATTCATGCTTCCGGATAGGCATTGTCTTTGGGAGGTCCCATTGTTGGGACACAAGGAGAGAGTGATTGTGTATTGTGGTCTCCATGATAATCCAAAGAACCCAATTCACAAAGATGGAACTTTTTGCGGTAAACCCTTTGAGAAGGTTCTGTTTGATCTTGGGATTGAGGAAAGTGACCTCTGGAATTCTTATGCTGCTCAAGACAAATGTTTGTGGAATGCAAAAGTATTCCCGATTCTCACTTATAGTGAAATGCTAAAGTTAGCGTCGTGGTTGATGGGTTTAGATGATAGTAGAAACAAGGAGAAGATTACCTTGTGGAGAAGCGCACAACGCGTAAGCTTAGAAGAGTTGCATGGATCAATAAACTTTCCTGAGATGTGCAATGGTTCGAGCAATCATCAAGCTGATCTTGCAGCTGGAATTGCTAAAGCATGTATGAATTATGGTATGCTTGGGCGAAATTTGTCTCAGCTGTGCCATGAGATTTTACAGAAAGAGTCATTAGGATTGGAAATATGCAAGGATTTTCTGGACCAATGCCCCAAATTTCAGGAGCAAAACTCCAAAATTCTTCCAAAGAGTCGGGCATATCAGGTAGAAGTTGATCTTCTTCGAGCATGTGGGGATGAGGCAAAAGCTATAGACTTGGAACATAAAGTCTGGGGAGCAGTTGCAGAAGAAACTGCTTCAGCTGTGAGATATGGTTTCAGAGGTAAAATCTAGCTACCGGTATTGGGGTATATACTATATATATTTTACCACTCTTCTTTTACAGATAAACGTGGATAAATCTTTTATTTGTTCTTCAGAGCATCTCTTGGAATCAAGCAGCAAGCCCCATTCGGAGAATCATATTTCTCATTTGGATCGAGTTTTCCAACCAAGGAGGACAAAAGTTGAACTACCAGTTCGGGTAGATTTTGTAGGAGGTTGGAGTGATACACCTCCGTGGAGTTTAGAGCGTGCGGGTTGCGTCCTGAACATGGCTATAACTCTAGAAGGTTCACTTCCCATTGGTACAATTATCGAGACAACTAATCAGAAGAGTGGAATCTCAATCCAAGACGACGCTGGAAACGAGCTACACATCGAAGATCCAATGAGCATTAAGACACCATTTGAAACCAGTGATCCATTCAGGCTTGTTAAATCTGCTCTGTTAGTAACCGGCATTGTCCAAGAAAACTTTCTCCACTCCACAGGATTAGCAATAAAGACGTGGGCCAATGTTCCTCGTGGTAGTGGTCTAGGAACCTCTAGCATCCTAGCTGCAGCAGTTGTGAAAGGACTTCTCCAGATATCTAATGGAGATGAAAGCAATGAAAATGTCGCGAGGCTTGTCTTGGTTTTGGAGCAACTCATGGGTACTGGAGGTGGCTGGCAAGATCAGATCGGTGGATTATACCCAGGAATCAAATTTACTTCAAGTTTTCCAGGAATTCCTCTGCGTCTTCAAGTTGTTCCTTTACTCGCCTCGCCACAGCTAATCACAGAGTTGCAGCAACGCCTCCTCGTTGTTTTCACGGGACAAGTAAGTAACAACATTGAGAGGGGAAGAAGAGTTTTTGCTAGCTCAGTTACAGTCTTATTCAATTATGCATTTTATTAACAGGTCAGGCTTGCTCACCAAGTACTACACAAGGTTGTAACAAGGTATCTGCAAAGAGATAATCTCTTGATTTCAAGCATTAAGCGTTTGACCGAGCTGGCGAAATCCGGTAGAGAAGCGTTGATGAACTGTGAAGTGGATGAGCTCGGCGAAATAATGTCAGAAGCTTGGAGATTACATCAAGAGCTTGACCCATTCTGCAGCAATGAGTTTGTGGACAAGCTTTTCGCCTTTTCGCAACCTTATTGCTCCGGTTTCAAGCTAGTAGGTGCAGGTGGAGGAGGATTCTCTCTTATATTGGGGAAGGACACAGAGAAAGCTAAAGAGTTAAGACAGAGATTGAAACAACATCCAGAGTTTGATGTCAAAGTTTATAACTGGAGCATCTGTATTTAACACTCAATCTTTTGTTTGGTTTCTTTGGAACAACTAAACGACGTCGTTGCCAAATACAAAATCCTTTACTTCACCTACTCGTCCAAGTCATTCTCTTCTTCGCTTCTTCCGGTTACTTGATAGCTCAATCACCAGATTCATGCCCGTTGCAATTACCATATTACCCTCGCCAGGAATCAAGGTCAAAAGTCCCCGGAAAATCGGCGATTCGTCATCATTATCAACAACACTTGGATTCGCAGGTAACGCCGTTAAAAGACTCCGTAACAGGGGTTAGTTCAACAGCTCTCTAAAAAAACGTTACTTTACCAACCTCGCTGACGTTAGATCCCACCGTTCGAGCTTACACTTGTTACGCCATATCCTGCATTTTCCACAGAGAGAGAGAGAAGGAAGAAGAAGAATGGGTTTGCTTACGAACAAGATGGAGAGAGAAGAGTTAAAGGCAGGAGATCATATCTACACTTACAGAGCAGTCTTCGCTTATTCTCACCACGGTAACTCCAGATTCATTCTTTCCCAAGTTTCTTCCTTTTTCTCAAAGTTGTCGACTTTATCTACACAGATCTTGCAAAGAAAAAACTTCTTTACTTTCTTTAATTGTTTTCTGGAATCCAATCTTTGCTCAAGTTGAAATCTTTGATCTTAAATTGATCTTTTGATGTTAAATTTGCTCAAGTTGAAATCTTTTGTTGTCTCTGGTAGTAGTAGCAGCAAATAGCAGTGGATATTATCGATGATGTTTATTGACATTTTTGATGATTGGTTTGGACACTAATCTAGACATTTCATCAAACCCTAATGG